AAAGTTAATTTTATGCGCTAAATTACATTGTATCGGAGATGTGGAGGTAGCTGTCGTTGTTCTTTTGCGAATTCCCATATTTTTTTGCTTTAACTCAATTTATATTTTTTGAATATTTTTTTTCTAAGAAATTAAGTCTCAAAGCATATGTCTATTATTGATGGTACCAGTCCTCATCACTGTTTTATTCATTTTTTTTACCGCATATTTTTACTGCAGGAGTGGAAATATGAAAACTGAAAAAGTGGCGGAAGACTTAGGAGGCTGTAGTGCTTTGAAAAAGGTAATGGTTAAAATGTATTTGCCGGAATAAAAACGAGCTGATACTTGTAATGAAATTTCCAGACGGAATTTATGTAGATTTTGTCAGATTGTTCGCATTTGCGAACATTTTTACGTGCTAGACATTTGTTTCCCTAAACTAATAATTCGTCAAGTTGAATTGTCACTAGCGCATGCGTTTAGTACTAGAATGATACTGTTATTTGTGCACAGCCGGGTTGGAAAAATTTATCTAGCTAGCCTGATGCTAGCGTCGCAAAGGCTTCTTTTTCTCAGCTCCAGGCCGAAAGTTTTCATTCTTCTAAGCTCTTAGAAACTTTTGGATCAGAATCGTTCGAGAAGGAATCAATACTTTTGGCACCATTCCTCAGATTTTGTGTTAACACTGTTAAGATATTTCACTAATTACAAGCAACCACACTTGTACTAATGTGCTACGTTACAGGATAATTATTGGATCAATGAAGTAGATGCACTGTTTATGGAAGTTCTGAAAAATCCGCGCTTGCGCAGTTTTGTTTGTGTGAACACAAATGGTTTGTGATTAAAGTTGTAAAAAAAATTTTTTTACAATAGAAATTTAAAAATGTGTTAAAAGGGGAAGCCGTGAACGGAGCCGTTTCTCGAAAATTGTTCTGGACCGGAAGGGAATCGAACCACTTACGTTCACGTCCCGATGCAACGCATTACCCCCACACCATCGGGCAATGTGTTCCATATTCAGCCTGTCTGCTTATTTACTATGTTTGTGCCTTCCAAGGCAAGATACACCTTATATTTTTCTCTGTGGTGGCTTCTTGGCCGACTTTTCGCGGGTTTTCCGCTACAGCACCTGGAAAATTCGTAACTGTAAAGTATTTCAAAACAAATGGAAAAGTCTGAGGTTTGAGCCGCCTCGTATTTTATTATGGAAATGTCTGAAAATTAAGTTTAATAGCAAAGACTGCATAATTTTCAATGATTCTATTGATTTTTTGTAGGAGCTGAGGTTTTGTGCGATATATCGAGGTACCTGGCGTATATTATGACTGCAGAAGAAGTGAGTGAGCGATTGAGAATGCCACTTTCCGAAGTGACCGTATGTTTTTTGCTTCCGTGAACTTCAGGTTTTTTTGCTTTGATGGTTTTGACCTTGGTAAATCTGCCGAAATCCGGTAAGGGGTTAGTTATTAGATTTTCTGAATAGCTGTTATTCTGTTTTTGCGCCACTGTTGAAGTTAGCAGCCTTTCCGACTCCTCTAAAAAAGAAGCAACATTCATAGATAGCAGCACAAAAGAGCACCAGGTTGACTCTGAGATTTCGTTTGTAGAAAGGAAAGCATAATGTTCGATGATAAAAACGTATTGACTGAAATACGGACAGCCGATCGGCATCGATTCTTAACAAAGGCTAAAATAAGAAGGGTAGAAGAGAAAGGTGGGAAATAAGAATTACGAAATTAGTGAAATTATTTTGATAAAATTAGTATAATGATAAGAAATGTTTCGATTCATCAAGTTGTATACATTTCTTACCATTACCGCAATATTTTGCTCCTACTTCTGCTGGCGTACTCACGGTTTCAGATTTTAAAAAAGGTAAAATATTGAATTTACTAATTTTATTTTCAGCCACAATGCTTTGATATTGTTCATGAAGAACAGGCAAAGGAGCTATATGGCAAGCTTGTTGCAATGAATGGTTTGGAACATATAGCCAGCTCAAAGATTCCGGAACCACCAACCTATACAAATGGATGGAAATAAGCAGTATAGTAATTGATAATAATTTTTTTGCAAAAAGACTGTGTAAGTAATTGAACCAGAGCGGATTTTGGGCTTATTTTAAAAACGGCCCAATCCGTATTTTGTTGTCGGTGAGAGGCAAAAGCACTCGAAAATGACCTAAGTAATAGCATCTTATCGACGGCAATAGCTACCTACTGAGAATGCTTTCGATGGTGTTTTTTCCTGGAATTCTTGAGTGCACTGGAAATAGTTTGGCATACAATCATTGGCGGATCCGGGGACGGGGGGGGG